TAATAATGATTCTTGACCAAAAGTGAGCAATGAAATCATCTATCTTACTTTAAAAAATACCCCTGGGTACTCCTGGTTAAAAATCAAAGGCTTAATGGGAATATTTCAGCCATTCTTTGCTACCTGTATCTTATTCCCATTGTTGATCTTTTTTTTTTTTTTTTTAATTTTTTTTTTCAACGTTTATTTATTTTTGGGACAGAGAGAGACAGAGCATGAACGGGGGAGGGGCAGAGAGAGAGGGAGACACAGAATCGGAAACAGGCTCCAGACTCTGAGCCATCAGCCCAGAGCCCGATGCGGGGCTCGAACTCACGGACCGCGAGATCGTGACCTGGCTGAAGTCGGACGCTTAACCGACTGCGCCACCCAGGCGCCCCCCATTGTTGATCTTTATTATTCAGGTAAGTTAATGCAGGAGGGACAAAAGTAATTGGATTAAAAACACTTAAAAATATTTGTTTTCCAGTAATCTCGACTTCTTATCCCAAGCATTGTAATTCAATTCTAAACATAGGCTATTTCATTGGTGCTCTTGATAAAACCCCAGGGCTTTAATTGGAATAGAAGGAAAACAAGGTTAAGTATTAGAAACTAAAGCTACAGACCATATTGAAAAATAAGCTTGTAAATAATCAAGAATAAGCAACATTTAGACTTGAGGCTATCTTTTTCTCTCTTAGTGGTTGATTAGCAAACAAAAAAAATGTATAAGGATATCAAGCATACACAAGAATATGCATGCAATTGTAGGGGAGGCCAAAGCACTTTGGGGTAATCTGGTCAGCTGTAATGCACACTCATCATTCCCTTGTTCCTTTGTGGTTTGTGCCCATGTTCAAACAGAGGAGACACAACTTTTTTAATAATTTAATATCTATAGCAGTTCTTGGTTCACAGAGAAACTGAGTGGAAGATACGGAGATTTCCCATAGATTCCCTGCTCCTCACATGTACGGTCTCTCCCCCTCCATCGACATCTCCCTCCAGAGTGGTGCATCTGTAGAGTTGATGAACCTAACATTTTACATCATTATCACTCAAAGTCCATCGTTTGTCTTAGGGTTCAAATGTAGTATTGTACATTCTCTAGGTTGGACAAATGTATAATGGAATGTATCCACCAGTATAGTACCCTATGGTGTATTGTCACTGCCCTGAAAATCCTCTTTGCGCCGTGGATTCAGTACCCTCCTCCCCAATCCTTGGCAATCACTGATCTTTTACTGTGTCCAAAGTTTTTCCCTTTCCAGAATTCATATAGTTGGAATCTTATAGCATGTAACCTTTCTCAAATAGGCTTTTTTCACCTAGGAATATGCATTCAAGTTTCTTCCTCGTCTTTTCATACTTGATAGCTCTTTTTTAGCACTAAATAAAATTCCATTTTCTGGGTGTACCACAGTTTATTTATCCATCCACTCCCTAAAGCTTGGTTTGAATTTTAGTAATTGTGAATAACACTGGTACAAACATCCACGTTCATGTTTTTGTGTCAACGTAAGGTTTCATTCCTTTGGGTAAATATTAAGGAATGCAGCTTGGGCTTCGTATGGTAAGAGCGTGTTATGTCAAACCTTCTTCCAAAGTTCGCCATTGTGCCCTCCCACCAGCAATGAATGAGAGTTCCCGTAGTTTCCCATCCTTGCCAACATTTGGTATTGTCAGCGTTCTGGCTCTTCTAATAGGGGTGTAGTAACAGTTTCTCACTGTTTTAATTTGCAATTCTTAATGATATTCTTGATTCTCTTCATTCTTAATGAGTACTTTTTATGTGCTTATTTGCCCGACACAGCCTTTTGAACCCAACCCAGCCCCCTTTTATTTTGTTGCGACTGGAGATAATGCCACAAGAGAACTTACACTTGAATCCTTTCATCTCAAGTGGTGAATTTCCCACCTACTAACTCAAATGATCTCAGATAACCCCAGCAGCTTCGTGCAACAGTATCCCACAGCTGACAGCACGTGAGGGGTTTGGGTTTAGACTTCCGCTTTCCTCTTAAAGCACAAAATGGAAAAGCAAAGAGGAGGGAAGGAAGCTAGGCTGATACAAAGAGGCCTTATATTAAAAAGAGGTGTTGAAAGATCCACTCAACGGAATGATCTAAGTAAATTTAATAAGGAAAGACTACCTGTATATCTTGTTTGCATAAAAACAACATCCAGCCACTTCAAGCCAACTCACTAATGTGACACAGCCGCCTTTTTTCACAGAAAGAACTTTGGAGAACTGGCAGGATCCTCCGGAGAACGTGGGAGTGGGGGTGGGTTCGTTCCCACACTTCTGTGTGGGACTGTAGGCAGTTTGGAAGATAGGAGGCAGTTTGGTAAGGCTCTGAGAGGGTGAAAGTGGAGGAGAAAGCATTATTTTACTTCTCCGGCTGCTTTCCAGCGTTGTCTTGAACCCACTGCGTTGTCTGTATCCTGCAGCGGGGTGGGGGGACTAGGCCTGGTGGCTCAGGAATGAAATCAGGGCAAGAGAGAAGCCCTGTGCCGTGGAAAGCCAGGGGAAATGAGACCAGCCCCTGGCAGTGGCTGTCTCACCCCATCCCCTTGAAACAAACCCACAAGGGAAGTAGCATCTAAGGAGTTTTTCTCATGCAGCTTCTCTGGGGACAAAATGTGATGATCTGACCCGAGAGCTCTCTGTGGGTGAGTAATTGACTGGTTTTCTAATACCTTAGGTTTCCCCGGAAACCCGGTAGAAGATTCATCAACTCCCCACCCCCTAACCTTTTCTAGCTGACAATATAGGCTGCCCTCTCCACATGCATTGTTTATTAGAATCAGCAATGGCGTCATGTAAAAATGAAACCCCAAAACAGCACATTAGAGAATACAAACATTTCCAAACAAAGCCAATATATTGGATTACAGATTCCAACCTCAGCAGAAAATGCTAGAAGACAGGAGCCAAACATCATACTATTAATAGGTATAAACATATTAATAGGTATAAGGGAAGACACTCCAAATATGAAACCAGAACCAGGAAAAATTAAAAAAATATATATTAGGTGTAAAAAATGTGAAAGTTCACATGCAGAATAAAATAGAACGAATAGAAAAATAAATTGGTAAATTGCAAAGATAAAATGTAGACATTTTTCCAGAAAGTTTCTGAAAAGTCATAAAAAAGCTAGTATGGCTGTGTAAATATCAGAGAAAAGTAGATTTTTTTTTTTTTACAAGAAATACAGCTGGCAATAAACAGGGATTTTCAATTTTTTTTTAACATTTATTTATTTTTGAGACAGAGAGAGACAGAGCATGAACGGGGGAGGGTCAGACAGAGAGGGAGACACAGAATCTGAAACAGGCTCCAGGCTCTGAGCTGTCAGCACAGAGGCCGACGCGGGGCTCGAACTCGCGAACCGTGAGATCATGACCTGAGCCGAAGTCGGACACTTAACTGACCAAGCCATCCAGGCACCCAATAAAGAGGGATTTTCATCACAAAGACATAATCATCTCAAATGTTGTGCACCTAGTAATAAAACTTCAAAATACATGAAACAAAGACTGATAAACATTAAAGGAGACATAGGTAAATCCACAATCATTGATGGAATAACCAGGAAAAAGTGTTAACAGTACAGTTACAGAAGATTTGAACAACACTCTTGACAAGGCAGCTAGTCGAGCCTAATCAATAAAGAATACTACGTTCATGACCACAGAAAATATGTGGTCAATGTGTCTCGTATATTTCAAGAGGTTGAAATATTACAAAGTATTGCCCAGCACACCACAGAAATATGTTAGAATTCCATTAAAATGTGATATCTTGGAAAGCTCCAAATATTTGGAAATTAAGTAGCACACCTCGAAATCTCGTGAATGAATAATAAAAACCCTGAAATTTGGAGATATTTTTAACTGGAAAACATAAATATATGATACAGAAATGTATTGGACAATGCTGGGGAATAGATGCTTATGCTTCCCAATGCTTATGTTAGAAGTTTGAAATCAATAATTTATCTGGATAATTAAAAATTAATGATTTACATTTTTGCTGTTTATTTTTGAGAGAGAGAGAGAGAGAGACAGAGCACGAGGGGGGTGGGGAGGGGCAGAGAGAGAGAGAGAGAGGGAGACACAGAATCCGAAGCAGGCTCCAGACTCTGAACTGTCAGCACAGAGCCCAACGTGGGGCTCAAACCCATGAACCGTGAGATCGTGACCTGAGCTGAAGTCAGATGCTTAACCGACTGAGCCACCCAGGTGTCCCAAAAGTTAATGATTTAAATAAAAATTAAAGTAAACTAAATGTAAAGTTGTAAAAAATAAGGAAAAATGAAGTGACACACAGAAAGCCAATCAAGGAATTAACAAAGCCGTAATCTGATTATTTGAAAAGAAAAACTAAATTGGTAAAAGTTTACCAAAACACATCAAGTATAAAGAGCAAGTAGGAATTGCCAATATTAGGCATGAAGGAGATGACATCACAATTAGATCCTTTAGCTATTAAAAGGATACCAGTGAAGCGGCATGAACACTTTATTGTAAAAAATTCAGCAGCTAAGATAAAAGAGAAAAAATCCAGGGGCACCTGGGTGGCTCGGTCGGTTGGGCAACCGACTTCGGCTCAGGCCATGATCTCAACGTTCGTGAGTTCGAGCCCCGCGTCGGGCTCTGTGCTGACAGCTCAGAGCCTGGATCCTTGCTTCAGATTCTGTGTGTGTCTCTCTCTCTCTCCTCCTTCCCTGCTCACGCTCTGTGTCTCTCTGTCTCTCAATAATGAATAAACGTTCAGAAAAAAAAATTTTTTTTAAAGAGAAAAAATCCTTTAAAAGCCATTGAATCAGGAAAGCGGAGTAGATGCACTTTTTCCTCATTTCCCTTATTAAATACAACTAAAAACCCTATATGGAGTGTAGATAATAAATATAATAAAGTTCTAAAAGGTGGAAAGGAAACAGAACTTCTAGGATCTCAGGATGCAAGAAAAGATATAGCAGTGGGTTCGCTGGGTTTTCTTTTACGCCCAGATTGGATCTGTAGAAGCCATTAAAATGAAAGTGTCCACGGACACAGAAAAGAAAAGTCCCAACGAAAGTCTTTTTACTTTAGCCAAAGGACCAGGAACAACACCTGCGAGGCTGCCTCCAGCCCTCCCAACACCATCCTGGGGAGGGGGGAGGGGGGCGGCGGTGAGACAGGGCTTAGTGGAAGCCTGGGCCTTTCATTCTCACCGGACAGTAATAAGCATGATGGCCCCGCCTCTCCTTGGTCTCCGTGGGAATGAAGTAGAGAGCCTAGATTCTACTACGTGGCAAGAAGGCGGTGGTCCCGCCCTACTCACCACAGGGGTGTTGTCAGAGGACTCTCAGTGGACAGTCAAGGATTTCAACACCTCCCAGGAGTAACAAGGCCACCTTCCTGAATCAAGGTGTCCATGGAGGCCAGACAGAGGCCAGTAACAAGGTGATCCTACCCCTCCAGAGAGGGAAGTATCAGTGGAGACCTCGTGGAAGGCTAGAACCCCCATTCCTACCCAACAGTAATGAGAAACACGCCCACTCTTAGGTGTCCGTGAAGCCCAAGTAGAGAATGTGGATTTCTACCTGTACTAGGAGGTAATGTGGCAGTTTCCCCCTTCTCCTGTCAGGGTGGTGTCAGAACAAGCCAGTAAAACAAAGCCTAAGTACTATCGAGTTTCAAAACATAATATCCCCAGGGTGCAAGTTTAATAAGAAGCACCTAGATATCTCAAGCTGAATTAAGACAAAACAAAACAAAACGAAAAATCCCCCCCCCCCAAATAAAACCCACGTTATTTATGACAACATTGAGATGACAGAGATTATAGAATGATCTGATGGAGGTTTTAAAGTAGTCATTATAAAGATGCATAAAGAAGCAATTGTTAACATGCTTGAAGCAAAAGAAAATAATAGAGATTCTTAGGATTAAAAGAACGTCCCCGCTGAGGTGCTTGGATGGCTCAGTCAGTTAAGAGTCTCTTGATTTTGGCTCAGGTTATGATCCCAGGGTTGTGGGATCAAGTCCCACATCCAGCTCTGTGCTGAGCATGGAGTGTGCTTAAGAGTCTCTCTCTCTCTCCTGCTCCTCTGCCCCTCCCTGATTAGTACATGCTCTCCCTCTCTCTCTCTCTCCCTCTCTTTTATTTTTTAACATTTATTTATTTTTGAGAGACAGAGCATGAGTAGGGGAAGGGCAGACAGAGAGAGACACACAGAATCCGAAGCAGGCTCCAGGCTCTGAGCCATCAGCACAGAGCTCAATGCGGGGCTTGAACCCATGAACTGTGAGATCCCGACTTGAGCCAAAGTTGGATGCTTAACTGACTCAGCCACCCAGGTTCTCCGCCTCTCTCTCTCTTTCTCAAGGGCAAGAAAAAAAGTCCCAGTAAAGAAATAAAAGACATAGAGAAGAGTCAAATGGAAATTTTAGAACAGAAAAATATGGTCACCTAAATTAAACAAAAACCTCGAAAGATGAATTGAAGAGGAGAATGAAGAAAACAGAGGAAAGAGCCCGTGTATTTGAAGATAGAACTATAAAAATTATTTAGACAAAATAATACTGAGAAAATAGACTAACAAACAGAACCTCAGACCCCTGTGAGGCTATAACAACAACAAAAAAATAACATCCATTCCATTTGAGTCCCAGAAAGTAAGGAGAGGGCAGCACTGAAAAAGTAATGAATAAAGAGGTAACTACTATCCAAAAGCCAAACATATTTAAAAATACGTTTAATGCTGCTAGGACAACTGCATAAATACATGTAAACACAAAGCAAGAAATATCGAGAAAAGTAACTACAGTAAATAAAACAGGGTACTTTACAATAGTGCGAAACAACTAGCAATAAATCTGAAAGCCGTGAAGAATGTTTACAAGAAAAAAAACTATGTTTTTTTTTAGATATGATAAAATCATTACTAAACAAATTAATAGATCGATCATGATCTGGGGTAGGAAAACAATATTTTAAATATACCAACTATCCAAAAATTGATCAGTAAAATTTCAATAAAATTCCCAGAATTTTTTTTTTTAATTTCAAAATGATTTTAAAACGCGTGTGCAAAGGTGTGGCAGAGGAAACACGATGCATAACTTTTTACACTCTTGTCGTCAAGAATCAGAGCCTGTTTCCCGTTTTCTTACACGGTGTTTTGGTGGCCCGGCCAATCGAGTGATGTTAAGCCATTTGTAGGCTTAGCCTTTAAGGGAACTCACAGCTTTTGGCTTGGTCCTCCTGAAGTTCTAAGCCACCATGACAGAAGTCTGTGTACTCTAAGTCTCCCATATACTCTGAAGAAGGCAAAACTAACCAGAGACAGACAGTAATCACCTGATTACTTCTGGCCAGCCCCTAACCATTTGGGTTAGTTCAGCAGAAACCCCAGGGATATCATGGCATGGAGGCAAATTGTACCCTGTCTAAATTCCTGACCTAGAGAGTAGTGGGAAATAATGATTAATAATAATAATAACAATAATAATAATAAATTCTTGTTTTAAGCCATGAAGGCTTTAAGATAGTTTGTTATACAGCAATAGGTAAGAAGAACCATATGAAGATTCAGTAAGATTATTGCAAAAAGGAAAGGAAAGGAGTGATGAACACAGAATTTGAGACAACGCTTAAATTTAGATCGGGCAGCAGGCAAATAGATGTGTCAACCTGATGGATGGGGTGAGAGGTACGTTATCGTCAAAGGTTGTAGATTTGGTTTTGGGTGGTGGTTTTGCAAGTACTGACACATTACTAAAAATGAATAACTGACAAACTAAATCTTAATCTTTATTTTAAGTGAGCTATGTGTAGACTGATAAGAATGTGTTATAAACCAAATGTTGCAATTAATCCAACTTTCATCCCATGATATCCAATTAAAAAAAACTGATCACTATCTATGACAATAGTTTATTAGGTTGTATAAAATTTCAAGTGTCGAATGTTATTAGGTCCTAGTAGAATTTCGAGTCTTTTTTTTTCTTACTCTTTTTGTCTTGTAGTACCTTTTTTCAGGGTCTTTTTATTAGTTAACAGTGCTTTCCCAAGGAAAATAAAATGCACACTTAACTTCCTTAGACTGAAATTGCAGAATGATTATAGGAATTTCAACAGATGGAGAATGTTGGCAGATTTTAATATAACTCTTTCTTGATATTAATATTTGTTTTATCAGACATGCTAATCTTAGGGATAGGTTAAATCATTATGTTCCTTCCAGGAATAAATCTGGATGAAGTATACACATTTGAAAAGATATAGTAATTTCCTTTAGTGAAAGCCCTAATACTAACAGCCTAAAGTGTGTAGAGGCTCACAGAAATGTTTTCTTTTTAAAGAACGAAGATTTCATAACAGCCTCTTTAAAATGCATTCTTTATTGCATAAATAAGCCTGTAGCAATAACAGTTTAAAAAAATTTTAATAAAGTACCCAATAAACCAACTGTTTTAAATTGTTGCTATCCTACTCAAGACAAATATATATACATAAATACAAATGTTAAAAATTTTATAGAGGTGATATGCATATGAATATTTAGAAAAATACACAAAATTTCTAATGGTGCAGCTCAATGAATTTTTACAAGGCATATATCCCCTGTAATAACACCTCCCTTAAGAAATGTAACATTAGAGCTGCCTCAGTGGCATAGTCAGCTGAACCTCTGACTCTTGATTTTGGCTCAGGTCGTGATCCCATTGTCTTGGGATCAAGCAGTGCATTGGGTTCTGCACTTAGTATGGAGCTTGCCTAGGATTCTCTCTCTCTGTCTCCCTCTGTCCCTCTCCCCCAGTCATGTGCGCTCTGTCTCTGTCTCTGTCTCTGTCTCTCTAAAAAGAAAACGGAAAAAAGAAATGTAACATTAACATTGCCCTGGAAGACTCAGTCATATATCTTTGCAGTCACTATAGTTCTTCTCTCCCAAAGGAAACCATTATATGATATCTAAAAACTGATTTTTCTAGGTTGGGAATGCATTACAGTAGAATCATAGAGCCTGACTTTTTTTTCAAAACATGTATGTGATATTTATCCATGATTCTGCATGTGGCACTTGGTAGACTTTCATTGCTGTCTGGTATTTCACTGTGTGGATATATCAAACTGTACCTTTCCTTCTCGCAGGCGGTTAGTATCAATGTAGATCACTCTTAGTACAACGTGGAACTAAATTGACCAGAAGCTAGTTTTCAACCTTTGTAAAGACTGGAGTATTTTTTGTTTGCCTTTACTAACATGGTGAAGTCTTTCAGAGATCCCAACTAATCCTGGGAAGTTAATTAGACTCCTCTCCTTCTTGGGGGACACCTAATTCCAATTTTTGCTTTTTTTAGTACTTATAAGACCACTGAGAACTCTGCTCAGCTTCTTAATGTCTTAGCTGAAACCTATGAATTGCCAAGTGCCTGGCTATAAACAATATACTATAGTTTATATATATAGTTTATATATATAGTTTATATATATATATAGTTTATATATATAAACTATAAAATAGTATATA